GCTCTACAGTCTAAAACTATGACTATCGACAAAGCTTCTGAATTAATAAAGGGATTAACAAACCAGATACAAAATATTCGCGAGACTATAGACATTGTTTTCGAAAAGGCAAAAAAGATTTGTGAACAATGTGGCATTGAAGACAATTTTCCTGAAAAGCGACGAAAGCGAGTAAAAAGACACGATTTAATTGAAAGTTCAGACTCCGGCTACGACATTACTCAGCAACAAAGTTTCAAAATTCAGATAAATGAAGCAATAGATACAATCATTTCTGAATTAAAATGGCGATTCGAAAAACTACGCGACATACATAACTCTTTCGGTTTTTTGACCTTAAAACACATTACTACATATTCGGTTGAAGAACTAAAAAAATATGCAGCTGATTTGAGCATCAAATATTCTGCAGATATAAATGCGACAGAATTTTGGTCCGAAATAGAAACTTTGAAGAGTCAAGTTGAAGCGACTACATTATTTGATAATTGTGAATGTCAGTCAAGTATGGGTCTTCTCAAAGCTATAGTGGAACTGGATTTAAAGGAAATGTTTCCCAATATAGTAGTCGTTTTAAAGATATTTTTAACGATGCCAGTGACTGTAGCTTCTTGCGAGAGATCGTTCAGTAAGCTCAAATTAATAAAAACGTATCTGCGCTCGACGATGGGTCAAGAAAGATTGTCTGGCCTAGCAATTTTGTCGATTGAACGCGACATAGCACGGCTCCTGTCATATGAAAATGTAATAAAGGACTTCGCAATGAGAAAAGCGAGGAAAGTAAATCTTTAAGTAATCTTAAAGTAAGTACTCATTTCTGTATTTGAGCAACTATTTTTGAATAAACAATTTTTATCTTAAAGAAATATACTAAGTAGGTACTTACATACTTTGGTTAACAATAAATAGATAGCTTTATTTGTATGCACATTTGTCAATTTTATTTTCAGAGCCTGGTTAGAGCATTTTTCAGGGGCGCAGTTTTGAAAGCTCGCACTGGGTGCATAAAAGGCTAGTTACGGCACTGGTCGCAATTTTAATTTATTGCAAATTATTACTTTTGGGCGGTACGAAGTTCGCCGAGTCAGCTAGTATATATATATAAATAAAAAAATGTGAGAACTAGAAACTATAATTGAAGATATAATAAAAATTTGTCTTGGACAATACTTAGATAATCATAACGAAATATATGCAAGATGTAATGAGGCGAAACAGCGACTTGATAAATTGCTAGATAATCCTAAAGTGAATCCAGACTATCGTCTACAATCTGAGGAGGAAATTAAGCAAGATAAAAGATTTAGACACTTTTGAAAACATTGACTTTATGATATGGTTTGATCAACTCGTTGATTCCAATAAATGCGGGACTATATCGGAAAATAAAAATATATACTTTACCCGCCATTTTTAGCTATCCTGAAGAGATCGTTGTACAAAATGCCACTGTGGGCTAATTTATTATGTTCATTCTATAAGTCAGAAAACAAATCTCCCTCTTCATCAGCCGCTGAAAGTCATTTTAAAACATTAAAATATTAAATTTTTAAAACAAAGCTATTAAGATACCGAATCGATCAATTTTTAAAAACTTCTTTAGAATATTAAGAAGGAGAACTCGAACTTGCTATATGTGATATTTGTCAAGATGTCCAAAATAAAAAAACTTCGGATCAGAAGCGGTCGATTAAAAGCAAAACTTCTTCTAAATTAATGAAACATCCAAAACTTAGAGCTCATCAACATTTCTCTACAGATTCATTTTTTTCTGATAAACCTTCGTTCCGTGAAAATGGGAAAAGAGAAGTCGAAGAAGACATATTGAAGCAAGATGAAAGAGTAAGATTTATTAAAAATGCTAACTTGATTAGTTCCAACCTTGCTTGCTTCAGTAATGTATCTTGTAGCTTTAGGATGCAACCAATACAAATATATTGAAGAAGACATTAACAATCTCACAGATGAAAACATTAGAGAATACAATAAATGTTTAAGAGAGACTGATTCAAAGCCCGATCAATATAAATTAAAGTGCCAAATAGCTACCAGATAACCATCGATTGTGCTTGTAATGTTACCCACATTTTCGAATCAATTCTACTAAATTGCTTTTCAAGTGCAGTTTCCACAAAAACGTGTTTAACAGAATCTTGCACGTCACCGGCAATAAAGAGAAATATTGTATTCTTGCCATTGAATTTAAACATAATAACTGTATTTACTATTCAGGCCCTAGAAGATGCAATTTCTTGTAGCGATGAAAATGGAACTTGTATTTCCTGTAAAGGTACTGCCGTTTATATTTACGAATTTTCAAATATTATTTCAATGGACTGAAATGGAACAGAAAAAGTAAATTTATATGATGTGCCCGAAAGGATTTTAATTAAAAATAGGTCCTACAGATTACTATGAGGTATAGAATTTATACCTTCTATGCAACCTGGTGGAATCGGTCATTATCGAGCCCACGGCTATATAAACGGGCGCATGGTTTGCTACGATGATAATATGCAAAAAATTATAACACTACAAAAGAATCACCTATTTTTTTTACATGTATTTACGATAGCGATTTAGCGATTTATAATTTCAATAAATAAGAAAAATGTTTATGGATGTAGCTTTTAATTTTCCAATAAAATCGTATTATGGTGACCCTACTGGTCTTTTCTTTTGACAATTTTATTTATTTATTTATCTTTAACAAAGTTTCTACAGTGGTTTTTTGTGGAAATTCATACAATAAAATATAGATACAATCTTAAGGCCAATTACAGAAACTCATTAGATACTAACGGCGTCATTATATGTCAATAATTATTACATTTAATTTAAAAAATTGTTTGAAAATCATATAATTTATTAACATAAATAATAAAATAAAATTAAGATTGGACAAAACATAACGAAAACAGACAATAAAATAAAAACGAAAAGAAAGAAACTCTCGCAAATGAAATGACGTATTCAAATAAATTATATTTAGTCAAAATATTGTGCAAGTTTTTAACGTATTTTGTGTATACTTAATACCAAAAAGTAGTTCTCCATTTGTATGTATATATATATACAGATGGAGCTAAAGAAGTTTCACTTCAGTCGTGTGGTCATAAGCACTGGTTTATTTTCTAAAATAAATTTAAGCTATAGAATAATAAGTTGCTATGCTAGGCCTCTGTTTTGCTTTTTTTTGTAAATGCTTATTGCATCTCCACACTAGACATCTTTAGTGGCGAAAACATTTGTTTATTTTTGAAATTTTTGCAGATTTCTAGTTTCTTTGAGACACGAGTTATCGAAAAAAGAAATATATAGGAGCATAGAATGAACAAAATTGTATTTTATGTATGAATATCATTATTAATTTTGTGATTAAAATCAAGGAGAAACCAGTCGAGCGCGTTTTGATGAAAAAATTATTGCCTGCCTCCCCTTTTAACGGTAAACACGAATTGAAGAAGCATAATATACAATACAATCTTCGAATAAACATTCCAATTTTGTAATACATTAACGGGATTGTTACCATGTACCTTGTTTTTTATGGAATGAAGGAATGGAGGAATATTTTCTTCATGGTTTTAAACAGTATCTTTCATTTGTTGTCATACTTTAAAAGTTCAGTTCATTTAAAAAGCAAATGATGTCACATTTCAAAGTTAAGGTTAAAGAAAACTTAATATCTCATTATTATAAATTACATCAAAAACGCTTGAGAAAACATTAGTCAAGAAAAGTGTGTTGTCTGGTCAGTAGGCGGTAAATTAATTCAAAATATTTTTACAACATTACAAAACCTTGATTAAAGTTAAACCAGTCCCCGTAGCACGAGCCCCACAATTTACATTATATCACATTTTTTATCGCGCATAACCGTTAAACTCTATAGTAATTTGACAATTGAGCGGGATAAAAAAGGAGCTTTATATCATATCACGGTACCCATACTTTGGGGATAGCCTAGCATGAATTGAAAAATATGAAGAAAGAAAATATATAAAAAAAATTAAAGTCATTCTAGCATGAACACCGCCATATGACATATAACGCGTTTTTACCACGCTAAAAATTGTTAAATTACTATGGAGATGTGACAGTAAGACGCGATAAAAAAAATGTAATATAATGTAAGTTGTGCTACTCGTGCTACAGGGACTGGACAACATTGATGACGTCACTTTTGTTTGCTAACCAAAAAAAAGTGACGTAAATAAATTTAGATGACGTCACTTTTGTTTGCTAATCAAAAAAAGTGACGTAAATAAATTTAGATGACGTCACTTTTGTTTGCTAATCAAAAAAAGTGACGTAAATAAATTAAGATGACGTCACTTTTGTTTGCTAACCAAAAAAGTGACGTAAATAAATTTAGATGACGTCACTTTTGTTTGCTATTCAAAAAAAGTGACGTAAATAAATTTAGATGACGTCACTTTTGTTTGCTAACCAAAAAAAGTGACGTAAATAAATTTAGATGACGTCACTTTTGTTTGCTAATCAAAAAAAGTGACGTAAATAAATTTAGATGACGTCACTTTTGTTTGCTAACCAAAAAAAGTGACGTAAATAAATTTAGATGACGTCACTTTTGTTTGCTCACCAAAAAAAGTGACGTAAATAAATTTAGATGACGTCACTTTTGTTTGCTAATCAAAATAAGTGACGTACATAAATTAGGATGACGTCACTTCTGTTTGCTAACCAAAAAAAGTGACGTAAATAAACTTAGATGACGTCACTTCTGTTTGCTAACCAAAAAAAGTGACGTAAATAAATTTAGATGACGTCACTTTTGTTAGTTAAAAAGGAAAAAAAGAGACAAGATTAGGGTTTAAAAACTCTAGTCCGCGTTTTGAAACAAGGCGGATTAAGTTCATATCATAATAATAATAGTAACATTAGTTTAGTGATTAAATACATATTGAAAGTATCTAACGGTTTAAATCTTTGCAACGACGTACGCCTAATTCTATTATGGCTACACCGAATCTTACCTTGGCAACACTAGTGCTTTATTACAGCTAGAAATCCCATTCCGTTGTCTTTTCAATGTCCATCTCTGACATTTTCTGTTGTAGCAGAAGCGCTGACATGTCGTCTGTAAATATTATTTAGGTATTTTATTTTAAAAAGTACAATACCCTATTGTTTTAGAAAACGATCTCACGTTATTGACTAATGTTTATGGAGTCTGTAAAAAGTGGACATTCATCATTCTCTTGTGTATATCAGTAAAAATAACCAAATCAAAAACTCCATTTTCAAGTTGCTGCGAAAACGTTTCTCTGGACAATATGGCGTCTTACTAGTGAGTGACGGCACACGACTGTCATTAAAACGTCAAACGATATAATGTAATGTCACTTTAACCCGAAGTTTACTTGCCTGTGACGTCATTTTAGGCTCGGCCAATCCCAAGCGTTTTGGGTCACGTGACAATAGATAAGAAAACTATTGTCTATTTCGTGGGTTTTTAGTAAATATATGAATATTTTTTATTGTAAAAATAGTAAAAACCCCTGCCAATATTCATTCTTAACACAGATGCTAACAATTGGCACTTTATTTTTAATACTGTCAAATACCCTATCGCAATTTAGTTAATACGTATACAATTTATCAGCCAAATACGATCATTATCATCATAAATATATTAATATCCACATTATTCAATCATTTTAGCTCAATATTGTATTATTTGATTTATTATCTATGTCATATCTATTTGTTTCTTAGGTTTTCACGCACATCACTCATTAAATAAAACTAGTTTTTACGGGTTAATACACGAACTTTATTTATTTATTGACGTTTCATAGCCTTTACTACGTCGTTACAATAAAACTTTTATTTAATTTGTAGAGCTACCTTCGAAAGACTTTTATTGAGCGTTCGGTTATTTCATTGTTCGATTTTTAAAGTTTTATTGTCTATGTATGAATTTATTATTTGATTTACTTAATAAAGTATTTTACTTAAAATTCTTTTTTGTAATTTTCAGTTTATTTATTTGACCCTAACTACCATAAACTACCGTAAACTTCAATAAATAAATAAAGTTTCGTGCATTAACCCGTTAAAACTAGTTTTATTTATGTCATACCTATTTTATACTTACTAGGGTCGGGTTTGATCGGCTTCACTCGGCCGATAAGTCCTGGCAGGTAGTCCGTCTTCCGGATCTGCTTGAGGAACAAGTGATTCAATAGCTGGGTCGCTGTCGGCCTTTTCTCTGGGTCTCTGTAAAATGGATATACAAGCAAGGTTATACCGTGAAAGTTTTATTGCAACGTTTTAAAATACCCCAGATAACAACACGAACAAAAGCGTGTCACGAAACCTGTCCAAAAGGTACATTGGGCGATCTACGGAGCTTCGTAAGATGATCAAAAACAATATAAAGCATTTTTTTAACCTTGAAAGTCACCATTTATGATTACTATATAAGGTCTTAATTAAAACGCATGCGTCTAAGAGTTATGACAGTTCGAAATGCAAACTCGTAAAATTTTACGACTTATTGCTATAGGCGGAAGAATATAGACCTTATTTCTTTGACTCTATGCGCAATTCTGAATAAGCTGTTAGCAATATAGCAGGTACGGATCGGGGGCAAAAGAGATGGCTATATTACCGACCACGTATTTGAATATCACATATGTTTTCTATTACATCAGTTTATAGTAAGTATTACAACAAAATTTGCTTTCAGTGCGTTAAATTAACAAACATTGATTAGGTACCTGTCGAAAAAACGACACTTTACGTACTATAAGTATTTATTTCTCATTTTTTCACGTAGCTCTGCGGCATCTTGACTTTCCAATGGTCCGCGCGTGACTGTGAACCAAGAAGTGCTTGAGTGGAGTTAAAGCACTTCTTGATGACACATTTTGAGCACACGTGGTGGTATATAGGGTATTTAATATCGTTGTTTGAGTTGAATACTTCGAACATTTCGTAATTTAAACCTTACCTCTTTTACTCTCTAGCTGAACGAAAAGACCACAAATTCAAAATGGGCTACATTTTATCGATTTTTGCTGAATAGGGTATTTGAAAAGTTTTAGAAAACGATCTCACGCTATTAACTAATGTTTATGGAGTCCATAAAAAATTAAATTAAAAGGATATTTGAATTCTGTAGTGTAATTTAGGATAAACACTAAATTAAAAAAATAAACTTTGAAGTTGCCGCGAAAACGTCCCTCTGAACATTATGGCGTGTCACTAGTATGTGACGTCACACGACTGTCATTTAAACATCAAACGATACATTGTACTGCCACTTTCGCCGGAAGTTTACTAGCGTGTGACGTCATTTTAGTCTTAGCCAATACCAGGCGTTTCCGGTCACGTGACCATGGAGCAAAAACATCATTCACTTTCTATTTAATAATTTTATACAAAAGTTATTAACTATGTTCTTTCAAAGTGGTAAAATCACTAAGGTTTAAATGTAAATCGGGGCACTTTTTATCTTAGCTGAACCCAACCTCACTTCTGTAGCACCATCTCGCTGAGATGGTGGAATGAATGGGTGAGCTTCCTCACACAAATTTTTGTTTTAATCTAAGGTTAAAATATAAATTGTGGTGCTCATGCTAAGGGGACTTTTTACCTTAGTTGCTACCACATATAGAAATCTGTTTTGATTAAAATACTAAAGAAAAATACAGAAGCGTCAACCATATAGTAATAACAGTTTTACATGAAATGTTAGTAGTGAGGAAAAACAATAAAATATTGCAAAAAGTATGTTACATAATAACTAATTAATCAGCTGAAAAAAAACTCTTTTTTATACTTTTGATGCTATTAAAGAAGATATCTATTATTAATATTGTTTATATTGTCTAATTTGTGTAATATATGTACTTTTATATACGTAGGTATATATATAAATTAAATATTTAATATGTAAATGTACTCTGCAACAGTTACCTAAAATTAGCATAAAGTTTTTAAAATTATACCTAATATTACCTAAGCCTCAAGTCACGTCATAGCCTGTTTTTATGATGTATGTAGTCAGCGGGAGGGTCCTGGTGACCTGTGTCACAGGTTTCACTGAAACCTAATTCAGGCACCAGTCTCTCACAATACTATAACATATTGTAAACCACAAGTGGTATACTAAAATGAACTTTATTTTCATGTGAGAGAAAAATAAATAAATGATCGATAGAATGATTGATCTATGCTGGTGTCAGCCAAGGGCGGATCCAGGGGGGGGGGGGTCATGGGGGTCATGACCCCCCCTGGGCTGGGTACAGATGGACCAAACCCAGGGGGATTTTATTTAAGTACTTTCAATATTTAATATACCACGACTATATGACCCCCCCCCCCTGGAGCCAAAGCTGGCTATATGACCCCCCCCCTGGCGCCAAAGCTGGATCCGCCCTTGGTGTCAGCTTTATTGAGAGCCGAACATGCTCTAATCAGAATACCTAACTCACCTCTGTAGCGCCATCTCGCTGAGATGATGGAATGAGTCGGTGAGCTTCCTCGTCGCATACACTTGACGTAATCTTGTCACACCGTCTGCGGTATCACCTACGCCACTATCAGTGTTATACATACCTGCAAGTGCGGTATTCATCATCAATTAATGTCCCCACTGCTGGGGCACAGGTCTTCCCTATGGATGGAATAGGGAGATTGGACCATGACCAACCACGCGAACCCAGTGCGGATTAACGGGTGCTAACGACTGCAGATGCAGCCGGGACCAACGGCTTAACGTGCTTTCCGAAGCACAGAGGAGCTCGAGATAGTTAATGTTTTGGTAACCGATCCTACGACCGACCACTGCGACAGTTGCTTCACTTCAACGATCGCAGCCGAACGCGCTAACCACTTGCGCCATCGAGCTCCTCCAGTGCGGTATTGTACGGTAAATAATAATTATTATATATTTTTCTTAATTTCTTTCGAATATTATTCTGGAATGCTTGTTCCGTAATTTTAAAATTATGTTGCTTATGCAGGCACGCCTTTAGTTAAAAATGTTTAAATCTTAAATGGGAGGAGAGCACTGGAGCCTGAGATACAGGTTTTTTCTTAAACCTACTTCGGGCACAGAAGTTACTCTAATAATTATATGATCAAATGAAAATAACAAAGTCTTATGTAAAATATTATCTATACTATTATATAAAGAGAGAAAAGCATAGATTGATTGACTGACTGACTGACTTAGCAACGCACAGCTGAAACGGCTGGATGATGAAATTTGGACAGGTTCCTATTAGTCTAGATAAGTAACAAGATGGGCCTTTTTGAAATTCGTGAAATTTGCTAACAATTTTTGTTCGTTAAATCTCATCCCTTAGACCGATTGACTGCAAATTTTGCATAAAAATTATTTAATAGATGTACAAAGTCTATTACATAAAATTATTACAATTACCCTCATAAAATTGTTGCACTATTTAAAACTTCAACATAAAATTATCTTGCTCCTAAATGAGCAATGCCTGTAGTACAAACGCTAGAATGAGTAATTAATATACATATAATGATAATTATAAATTACTAGCTGACCCAGCGAACTTCGTACCGCCATAAAAAAATAGGTGTTGGTGGTAGAAGGGTGAAAATTTAGGGTTGTATGTATTTTTGTATGATGTATCATAAAAAATAAAAAAAAAAATATCTAAAATTGAAAAAAAAAATTAGGGGTGGATTACCCTTAACATTCGAGGGGGATGAAAAATAGATTACATCCGATTCTCAGACCTACCGAATATGCATTTAAAATTTCACGAAAATCGGTCGAGCCGTTTCGGAGGAGTTTAACCACAAACAACGCGACACGAGAATTTTATATATTAGATATTGATTGAGTTATTAAAATGAGTCACAGTTTGAACGAATTCTGTTAATGCATCGAAAGACTAACTAGTACCCGCGCCTCCGCCTGCGTGTTTTAATTCGTTTCCCATACAAATTTTACTCCCCCTTTCAAGATTCATTTGCACGACAACAAGAAGCCTGTAACTGTCTCCAGGACCCCATCTATCTCTATACCAAAATCTATTCAGTGGTTTAGATGTGAGAGTGTAACAAATAAACATTAACTTTTGCATTTATAATATTAACTGGCATTATGTCTTACTTTTCATTTCTCCATCGTCGAGGCAAGGTTCTGGAAAGGTAGAGCAGTCCAGAAGCTGCGGTCTGCTTCCTTTAACCTTCTCAGTGAACATTAACGTAGTGGGGACTTCAGCGAATGGAACTGCACCATTGGCCAGCTCGCAGCACAGCACCCCCAACGAGTATATGTCCGAACGTTCGTCGTAGCCTTTGAGATTCTGTAGTTGTATAAAAAAAAATATTTTGTGATTTTTATGAGCGAGTTTTTTTTTTAAATAGCGCAGGTAGGCAAATGACTTTACCCCACCTGAAGTTAAGTGATGATAAGGTCCAAACGCGAATATAGCTGGTATAGCAGTTATAAACTGCCACACAAACCATCCTCACCTTCGCCGGCCTGCAAAAATGCTTCTTCCATCTGTCTTTGTCCATATCTTTAATGCTAAAGCTAATATGTATCCATTTGACTAACTTGTATAAGCTAAACTTTTTCCCTAGCAACACTGTACCCTTAGCACGAACTATTATCGAATTGGAATAGTTGAATTCGTTCGTGCTATGTGTACAGCAATGGTAGTCGTAGCCTTTGAGATGCAGGCGCAAAAGTTGCACAATTAGATACTATTATATTTTTTTTTTGATTCATTTCTGTTGGTAATTAATAGAGCATGCTCGCAAAACTATGCTTTGTTAAACATGAATAAGAACATTGGATTTTTTTTACTCGTTTACTTAACTAGTGTGGTGGTGGAGGTTCCACCTGGCCTTAAAATTATAGGCAAATCATATTATTCAGTATGGTTATTTTTTTGTTAAAAAAATATCCAACATACACCAATTAGCCTAGCCCCAAAGAAAGCACTGTATATCAGGATACAGATAGAATACAAATACTGTAAGCCCATCCAGCCACAGTCTAGAAGGCACGCTAAGCCCTTGGTCTGGGCTGCATCTGCAGACGTTAGCACCCACCCATTTGCACTGTCTCCCTATTCCATTCATGAGGAAGGCCATTCCCCAGCAGTGGGGACATTAAAAGGCTGACGATGATGTTGATGATTAGTGATGTAACGAATATTCGCATCCGCATTCGCGAATATTCGCATATTTTTGAATATTCACATTTGCATTCGCAAAATCTCTGTGAATGTTTTGCGAATATGAATATTAGAGAAAAACAATTTGAAGAAGTTGTAGTTCTTCCTTTCCTTGAATATTCATTGTTACACAGCTTTCATTTAGCTCGTTCAGCATCGCAAAGTGTGAAAAGTCCATATTTCACTAGAATTTGATTTACTTTTGTTACTAAATCACTATTCAAACTAACCTTAAAATTCACATGTTTTGTTCACGATAAGACCGGCGCGAGCCGAATGACTCTTCAGTCGAATGAGTTCATACCAACTCGGCAATTCGAACGAGACTGCCACTATGCCATAGACAATTGGCGCCAATCTTCAACAATAACTAAATATTCGCATTCGCGAATGTTCAAAAAATTACATTCGTTACATCACTAATGAGGAGCTCGATGGCGCAGGTGGCTAGCGCGTTCGGCTGCGATCGTTGAAGTTAAGCAACTTTCGCAGTGGTCGGTCATTGGATGGGTGACCAAAAATTTACTATCTCGAGCTCCGCCGTGCTTCGGAAGGCACGTTAAGCCGTTGGTCCCGGCTGCATTTGCAGTCGTTAGTACCCACCAATCCGCACTGGGCCCGCGTGGTGGGTCATAGCCCAATCTCCCTATTCCATCCATAGGGAAGGCCTGTGCCCCAGCAGTGGGGACATTAATAGGCTGATGATGATGATGATGACATACCTGTTCGAGTAGTTCAGGGCTGAGCCACATAAGGTTCGCGTTGTCGTGGTCTGGTGGCGGCAGGCGGTGCAGACGAGCGCGTCGACCGCGCACCGCCACACTCGCCGCGCTGCGCAGGCCCGACAGGCGAGACGACCCGTCTGCTCCTACTAGCACGTGACTCGCGCGGACACTCCTGCGTATCCAATTGCTTCAATGTAACTGACTATACCACGCTGCAAGTCGCGGCACGAAACTCTAGCGCTAACCGTTATTTCGCAGAAGTAAAAATTAAGATGTGTTGGGGGAAACCAGGGCTTGCTTACCGGTTAATTTTCAAACCTAAATCAGTGTCAAGTACATTAGAAGCGTTTTATTTAGGTTTGCCTCTACCTTAACCTTAAAAAACCGGTTTTCCTAAAAAGCGAAATCAAATAGGTTTTGAATCAATTTAGCGGTTTTTAAAGGGTTTCGTTTCGCTCTTACTGACGGCTCAAATAAATACACAACTACAAAATTAATAACTTGACTCACTAGACGCTAGCAAACGTGTCAATAAATGCATCAATCTCGGAGCATTAACAAAATTGTGACTTGATTAGTTCAAACAAGCCCGCGCGTGCAGGTGTCGCTCTGAATTAAACCGGTTTATTAAGGTTTTAGGTACCGCTTTCATTTCGGACGCACTCCGAACGAAACCTTTACTAAAAACCGGTATTTTTGAACGCGGTTCCAAGCCCTGGGGGAAACAGAGGTGCGCGGATGGGCGTGCGTTGCCCCGATTGGCTCTCCAGTCGTACCCATGCGCAGCTATCCCTGACGCGTTTTGTTCAGCGCTAGAGTGACGTGCCGCGACCTGTACGATATATTGATAGCCTAAGAGAAGTGTGGGAAGAGTAAGTGCCTATTGTAACGAACTATCGAGCTGCGTGATGATAGACGCTAGACGATAGCTTAACCGGCGGTCTTACGACACACATGACACATCAAACGGGTTTTGGGGCAAATTCATGTGTGCATGTAAACGAATGTACAACCGTGACTTTAGTTATTAAATAGTAAAAGCTTCCTCCCGCAGGTAAGGGAAAGAACCCGTGCGGACATATATTACAATATACTGATGATACTACACACATCAAAAGTGTCTAGGGATCAAGCATTTTTATGCGGATTTCTTGAGATTGAGATGTGGCTTTGTAATAAATTTATGATTTTATAAATTTATATGGATCCTTTTTGGTGCATTTCATAATTTGAATCAGGAACTGTGAATCAAATTCGAGTAAAAGATGAAAATCAGCTGTCAATATTTTCCCTATAAAAACATACAACGCATTGAAGACATTATTAGTGCTACTGTTTCCCTACTACTGATTAAAACCAACGTTATTATGGAGCGGCGACGTCATTTAAGCAGGGAAGAAATGCTCAGAGCCGTGGGAATTATAGAAGCTGGTTCCCGGCAACGTACTGTGGCTTTAGCTCTGAATACAAGTCAGAGTGTTATCAGTCGACTTTGGACACGATACCGAAGCACTGGTACCGTGGCTGAGCGCCATGGAGGACGGTATCGCTGCACCACACGGAGACAAGACCGATACATTCAAATCTTAACTCGAAGAGCTCCAACAATAACCGCCATGATGTTAGCCGTGAGGCTTCATCACTCTTCAGGGAACTTAATTAGCGACCAAACAGTCAGAAACCGCTTGCATGAAGTGAACCTTCATTCCCGAAGACCGCTACGGGTACCACCTATAGCAATGCACAATCGTAGGATTCGATATCAATGGGCTCTTGAACACAGAAATTGGGCAGAAGAACAATGGCGTTTCGTGTGCTTTTCTGATGAGTCTCGTTTTGGTATGAGACCGGATACAAGACGTATACGACACTGGAGAACCCCTGGACGCCAACAGCGATTAAAATCCTGCCAGGAAGTCCATCCTTATAGTGGTGGAACCATCATGGTATGGGCGGGTATTTGGATCGGCGGAAGAACTGAGTTGATTTGGATCAGAGGCAACCTCAACGCTCAAATTTATGCTGAGACGATTGTATCAGACGTCATCGTTCGTCTACAAGTGCAAATCGGTCCCTTATTTCAGTTAATGCATGATAATGCACGACCGCACACCGCAAGAGTTGTAAGACAGACTCTCGCCGCAGCTAACATCAATGTCCTGCCCTGGCCTGCTCAGTCGCCAGACTTGAACCCGATTGAGCATGCATGGGATATGCTACAGAGAAGAGCTCTGCCGAATATGGAGGGTATCCAGTCGCAAGAAGACCTTTTTTTGTTGTTGCAACGAACATGGGCGGCCATTCCACAGCGTGATTTGGATGAACTCATTTTGAGTATGCCAAACCGATGTTCTTGTGTTGTTAGTGTTCGCGGTAGAAATACGGATTATTAATTGTTTAAGTTACCCAATAAAATTTTAGAGAAAACTGTTATTTCAGTCTTTTTTTCGAACTTTTGTGTTAGTGGTTCAAATGTCAAAAATCCCTTTATTAGGAAAATGGCAAATTTCTTTATTAATGCAAAGGTGACTTGGTTTATCGTTACTGTGACAAACGAAAACACTTTATTTGATGAATCCTTAAAGAAAATTTTAATTAATATCAATCAGGAGAAAAGTTATTGCAAAAATATATGTTGATCCCTAGACACTTTTGATGTGTGTATATATTGACCATCTAACTAAGGGAATGTTACCAGCGTACAGCTACACCGCCGCATTGCACAGACTAAAGCTACAGTTTAATATGACATACTTAGATATTTTTTAAACATTTATATTAATATCTTTTATCGAGAATGATTACACTTGGACTGCTTATTGGCAAAGGAAGTTAATTTTATTTAAAGTTAACAGGCGGCAAGCAGTCATATGACGTATATTAAGCTAGCAGACCATGGTCACAACGCGCACATCTAACCTACTGGATATTTAGTTGCTAATTAGTTACACTATTCCTGATTTAGTTGCTCAATACCTGTAAAAGATGCAAGCGATCTGCTAGATTAAGTCTTAACCTAGCAGACCACAATACTGTATCTTCGGTTCTCGTAAAGATATCGAAGTTCTGCAAACGGCATATTTAGTTGCTAATTAGCTGCTGTAAGACAGCATTATTTGTATTATCCCCCCATCATCCCCTAATTGCCGCACCAGCACGTAAAATTCTCGTAGGTGGAAAAAAGACGCGAGATATTTAGTTGCTCGCCAAAAACGCAGATAAGAGTATCCTACAATCATCCCCTAACCTTAGATTCACCCCCTCTACTCAGTAAAAAATAGTAGATGGTTCTAATTCGCACGCAGATGTTTAAAACTGCTGGATCTTTAGTTGCTAATTAGTTGCTTAAGGACAACATTATTTGTATTATTCCCCCAGCATAACCTTATTGCAACATCAACCCGCGCACTACCCTCTAAGTACGATAATGTGAAAAAGAGGTCATGAGAGGCTAATTAGTTGCTGCAAAATAGCGTTGCTTATAGTATTTAACTATCAACCCTTAACTCTAGATCAGCACTGCAACCACCTCAGAATAGGACGATATCGGAAAATTCTCGTAGGTGGAAAATAGACGCGGCATATTTAGTTGCTCGCCAAAAACGCAATTAAGAGTATTCTACAATCATCCCCTAACCTCAGATCCCACCCCTCTACTCACTTAGAAACAGTAGATGGTTGGAATTCGCACGCAGATGTTTAAAACTGCTGGATGTTTTGTTGCTAATTAGTTGCTCGCCAAAAACGCAATTAAGAGTATTCTACAATCATCCCCAAACCTCAGATCCAACCCCTCTACTCACTTAAAAACAGTAGATGGTTGGAATTCGCACGCAGATTTTTAAAACTGCTGGATGGTTGGTTGCTAATTAGTAACATTAAGATTATTTGTTATTTTTACATGCAAAAAATTTTCCTCACGCTAAGCAGCCGTGATTAAAAATACTCTAACAGTTAATTTAGGCTTAATTAAAACGAAAATGAAAAGGTAACACTTTTCATTTCGTCAATTTGAGGTTAAGATTTCGAACGCAGAAAAGAAATCTTTCAAATTCAAGTTTTCCTTCGAAAGTTCTCTGAATTAGAGTAGGCTTGGAGAATTTAATAGTCAAACTATTTTCGGACGTTTGAATTTTCGAAATGAAAAAGGGACAGAGTAAGGAACGTGCGAAATTTTGATCGAAATTTAAGTTGAAATAGAGTAGGCATCCTGAGGTAAAGAGATTATTGTAGAATATATTTAAATGTAAACTAGATATTCTGCAGTTATATACATCTACGAGCGTATTCTGACCGTTTTTTTTATTGTAAAGAGAAAATGACTGGTCTATCTGAGGTGAAGAGACGATTGTAGAAAAATATCCCGCATTTTTTGTACCCATAAGCTGGGATGATTTGTAGTTAAGGGTTGACAATTAAATATTATAAGCAACGCTATTTTTCAGCAACTAATTAGCAACAAAACATCCAGCAGTTTTAAACATCTGCGTGCGAATTCCAACCATCTATTGTTTCTAAGTGAGTAGAGGGGGTTGGATCTGAGGTTAGGGGATGATTGTAGAATACTCTTAATTGCGTTTTTGGCGAGCAACTAATTAGCAACTAAATATGCCGCGTCTATTTTCCACCTACGAGAATTTTCCGATATCGTCCTATTCTTGGGTGGTTGCAGGGATGATCTGGAGTTAAGGGTTGATAATTATATTTTTTAAACAACGCTATTTTGCAGCAACTAATTAGCAACAAAATACGCCGTAGTTTATATTCTCTGATGATTCTCTTTTTAATTTTATCGTATTTCGGGGGTAGTGTGGGTGCTGCTGCGGCAATTAGGGGATGATGGGGGGATAATACAAATAATGCTGTCTTACAGGAACTAATTAGCAACTAAATATGCCGTTTGCAGAACTTCGATATCTTTACGAGAACCGAAGATACAGTATTGTGGTCTGCTAGGGTAAGACTTAATCTAGCAGATCGCTTGCATCTTTTACAGGTATTGAGCAACTAAATCAGGAATAGTGTAATTAATTAGCAACTAAATACCCAGTAGGTTAGATGTGTGTGTTGTGACCATGGTCTGCTAGCTTAATATACGTAGTCATATGGACTCTTGCGATTCAAAAATGTTACTCACGCTATTGCCTACCCTGACCCAATCCCCTACACCAAGAAGCCCTGGAACCTTATTCTCTGACAGAAACACAACATACACTTGAGCAAACTATTTCAATCTATGTTTGCGTTTTAGTAGGTTAACTAAAGGGCCCCATATACGGAACGATTCGTCGTTGCGATCGATCTGAAGGAAATCGTCAACGATCGATCGTTCAGAAATGCCACTACATACACGAAACGATTGATCGTAACGATCGTTCATTTACATGTTTCAAACGGTAGGATAAAGACGTACTCAAATAATACAATACTTGCCCTCTAAAATGGAAAACGAACTCATGATTGTCTTCGATTAAGTAAATCGTTAACGATCTTGACATACACTGTCGATCCATCGTTTCGATCGGTCTGAAACGACGGATCGTACAGATCAATCGTATCGTATATGGGACACTGACGATTGATCGTTTACGATATTCATGATTGCATGGGTTTTTGTTGCGATCTCCAATATCGTCTGCGATTAAGTAAATCGTTAACGATCTTGACATACACTGTCGATCCATCGTTTCGATCGGTCTGAAACGACGGATCGTACAGATCAATCGTTCCGTATATGGGCCCCTTAAGCAGTTGTCCAAATGCATCATTACAAAATAAATAAATAAAATAAATATTTTCGACACTCACACCAATTAGCCTATCCCAAAAGTAAGCACTGTAAGGCTTGTGTTATGGGATACTAGAGTAACAGATAGAATATATATACAGTACATATATTTATATAGAAATACATATTTAAACATCCATGACTGGAGTACATATGCTCGTATTCATCACACAAACATCTGCCCTCACCCGGATTCGAACCCAGGACCTCTCGAGTCGGCGACAACATGAAACTTGGCATACAAACCACTCGGCCAAGGAGGTTGTCAACATTTACAGTAATAGATTTGATTAAAACAGCAGCTCATGATAAGCCTATTTACTGTATAACACACTATATACTGCCATCGTTTTTAAAACAACACACAGACACACTTTAATTTGTTTTTATTCATGTTATTTGATAATAAAGTGCTTTATCAACTTAGTTTGTGTGTTGAATCTTTTAAATAATAATTTTCCCATGTTATTCAATAGATTATGTCTCATGTAAAAAACATAATCCAGACACAACAAATTGTTTCAAGCTTAGGTGTTTTTGCATTGAAATTAAGGTAAATAAGGTTTTAAAATGTGATTTTTTTAATGACAAAATAATTTATTTTTTCAAGAAAAACATTAAAAAATATCTTAAGAAAGTTGTTTGAAATAATGTGCAGGTTTGTTTCATGTAATTGCATTATATTCATGATGTTAACCAACTTTACAACGGATTATGTACATATGATAAGAATATGTACATTGAATTATTAGGAAAAATAACTCTTTTCGAAATCTCAAAAGAAGCATTGTGAAACTTAAACGTAAACTAAGCTGAAACTTGACATTATAAACATAAAGAATCCACATTTTCATTACCTGTGAATAAACATTTGCTTGTGAAGATATTGGAGGGCCAGCAAAACGTCTCTCAATATTATGGCACATGCAAGTTCTGGCAGTCCTTCATGAAAGTAGCGGTCGAGGATATCACGACATGAACCAAACGTCATCAACGGTGAGACCACATAGAGCTCTCGGCCGTTCACAAAAGAGGTCAAATAAGGTAAGATGTTTTGGTGCTGTAGTTCTTTTCTCGTCATAATGTCTTGCTGGAATTGAAGAAGGATGTACTTAAGTGGGTATATTTATTTCAATCATCATACTACAAACAAACTTGTTATGGCTGGAACTCTGTTTATTTAACATCAAGTACGATTGATATTGACAGATAGTTGTTATTGCATAGAGCCAAAGGTAATAAATATAATATAAGGTGTGAACATTAGGTTATATGATGTGCTGTTGTGGGTACACAAACAAATGGAATAAACTTGGATATTTTAACAAAGGAGACATTAAAAATCCGTATACCTGGATCAAGGTGGCTTTCTCCTTAGTTTTATCTACGAAGTATCTTTTGAGGGCGACATTTTGATTACTGGGCTTATACAAAGCTGAATAAACTACAGCAACACCACCACAACACTCGGTTATAATCGAAGTCAATTGATAATCGTTAATATCTGGATTGAACATTATTGACACTTGGGACTAGCACCAAAAGTAAGATAAATTTTATTACAACTACGTTATTGTTGAATTGACATGATGCAAAAAGTCTTAATGTTTCTATGTTATAAATAGTGAATAAAAGGTTGTAATATTTTTATAAAATTCCTACTTTTGTAACGAACAAAACAACGGACTACGAAAGCGATATCTTTTCTTTTTTTTAAGATTCTCCCTTTTCAGTGAAGGCAAAAGGAACAGGCACATGCCCATACAGCCAAGTCTTAAGTTATTTTAATCTTCTTTTTTTACATTCGAATGTTCGTGTGCTCATTCTAAGGGTGCGGCCAGAGTGCACTCAGATTCAGAGTCAGATTCAGATTCTGAAAACAAGCGCGAGAAATAAACAGTGTAGTCGAAGGGTACGGCCAGATTGCACTCCTGATTCAGATTCAGATTCAGACTCAGAAAACAAAGCGCGAGAAAAATCAAGCAACCTGCTTAGACTACACTGTTTATTTCTCGCGCTTGTTTTCGAAATCTGAATCTGAGTCTGAATCTGAGTGCACTCTGGCCGCACCCTAATGTTACTTGGAATGAAATCCCGCCGGTTTTTTTTAATCTTTTTTTCCCATCTTGGGAAAGGCAAAGGTAGAGCCATGCAGCCATAGTCTTGATGAAATAAAATTAACACGAACTGACACTGACAGTCGAATTTTTTTAATTATATTTTTTCCTTCATGGGAAAGCAAAGGTAAAGCCTTGCCATCCTGATTTTATTTGTTCTTTTTTCTACATTAGAATATAAAACTTCAGCTACAGCTGGAGTGCGGGAGTTCATGCATATGAGTCATTAGGATTGTCCACTTTATTATTATTCTTTTCTATATTTTTATCTATAAAAGAGGGCTTTAAATACGATACGACTTTCGTCATTGACTGGCTGTCGGGAACAATAGTCGCTGCACGGACCTGTTAAAAAAGACGGACGTAACCTCGTCTAATCGTGAGTGAAGCATTTGAAGACTACTAACTAACAACTAAGGTCTCGGGTGACGTTTGCAGGCCATGGCTGGACAGTAGTAATAAAGAGGTGCATCCCAAAATGATTTAAAAGTAAATTCCCACCCGTGCAAAGCAGGAACAGGCCGCTTGTTATTATTAAACAGATATTCTATTATTGATCAACAAATACAAGTAAATGAATTGGCTGCTTTGAACCAATAAGCGCGGACCTATGACTAACCAATAGCATACGCGCTTTGTCAAACGCATGTTTTTGTAATCGAGCCTTGCTTTATTGTATTTAAAAAAAACAGTTTCTATCGTGTCGTAGCAATCAAACAAGCCTGACCTTATGACAAAAATTCCATACATTTTTTGTTTAACGATTGGGATAGCTTCTGTTTAAAGATATCTTAAAGAGGAGCTCGATGGCGCAAGTGGTTAGCGCGTTCGGCCGCGATCGTTGAAGTAAAGCAACTTTCGCAGTGGTCGGTCATTGGATGGGTGACCGAAAATTTACTATCTCGAGCTCCTCCGTGCTTCGGAAGGCACATTAAGCCGTTGGTCCCGGCTGCATCTGCAGTCGTTAGCACCCACCAACCCACACTGGGCCCGCGTGGTGGGTCATGGCCCAATCTCCCTATTCCATCCATAGGGAAGGCCTGTGCCCCAGCAGTGGGGACATTAATAGGCTGATGATGATGATGAAAGATATCTTGTCTAAGGGTCAGGGTTGTTAAGTGACTAAAATAAAAAAAAAGGATTATATCGATTCAGTTGACGTATACAGGTGGAACAATATACAAAATAAATGGCAACACTAAAGTCTAGTCATTCTAACTTGTCCTATTTGGTAAACAATATTGCCACAACTTTTTAACAAAATCATCAATTCAAAAATGAAATAATAACAAAGTCAATAATCTATTACAATAAATCATTATTATAGACTAAAACCTATTGAATCTAGTTAACAGTTGATTTTGGATACTGTATTTTGCATAAAAAGACTGCCAAGATTGTTTACTAAATAAGACAATGGTGTCGATTCTGGCGTAATTCTCTAAACTTAAAACTAAATTTAACATCAGTCTTTCCCTTTCATTCTGTATAGAAAATGACAAAGATGCACTGTTGTCAAATATAAGTTTAGCTATAGAGAATCATGCTAGAATCGACACCACGGTATGAAAGGGTAAATTAACAAATTAATGAAAATAATATACATATATAAATATATATTAATTCATTTCATATACATTTATTATAACTAATCGACGAAATTTTTTATATTAAACTTTTTACAATAGTCAATTTCAGATGTGCATAAATATAACATTAGGAATGTTGATAAATTATGTAATTATTATTATCAGACTATTATCATTTTTTTAAATATTAATTAAATCAACATTGGTGCCAATTCTGGCGTGATTCTCTAAACTTAAAACTAAATTTAACTTCAGTCTCTCCTTTTCAATCTGTGTAGAGAATGACAAGGATATACTGCTGTCAAATTTAAGTTTAGGTTTAGTGAAACATGCTAGAATCGACACCACTGTCTGCATTATTAATTACAGTGACAAGTGGTTTATGGTAACTAAAATAAGACGCATGGACGTTCGTAGATACGTGGTTCACGAATCTTGAAAATACCGCATCAATGGTAGTACCATACCTCGTTGTCCCCATTGCTCTATCAGAAACAATATCTAAATTCAGTTCAGATTTAAAAAAAATTATTAATGTCAATCCGTCATCTTTGTTTGTCAAAGTTGCGCGACATAGGATGCGCACCAAAAACGTAGCGAGGTCATTCATCGATAGATTTTACTCCTCACATTTTTCTCATACCGGACTCCTTATATAAAATATGCAAATCGATTCTTAAGGAGTAAACTCCAATAGATAGATAGTCTGTGCGGAAAGAGAATGAGATTTAGATTGGAGGGTGCTGTAGTGCTTTTCTACCGTATTTGTAAGGTTTTACCCCTTTTAGACACGATTAAATACAAAAAACCGCAAGAAATCACAACAACAAACAAATCCGTATCAATACAAAACTTCGACGTTTTATTTATTTATTTATTTATAATGGCACAATAACAGGCATCAGACAAAAAAAACAACACAAGTACAAAAAGACATGAAAAACTATGGGCATGCCTGTGCCCAATTACAATTGTGCACAACATTTACAAACATAAATAGACATCGAACAAAAAAATTAAATATCTTAATATTATATCATTATAACAGAGTTAAATATTATGTAATTTTGCTTTGCAGAGAGGGGAATAACTTTAATTTTATAATTTTTAGTGTTCAGCACAAATTTTAAACAAAGAATTCTTGAAAGAAGGTAAGCTACAGTTAAACATGTCAAGATCAGAGCAAATATTGTTAAAGTATGAACACATTCTGTTCAATGGGCTGTTCAGCGAAACATTATTTGTGGTGGAGGGTACACAAAATAATTGTGATTTACGCACAGACCGTGTAGGCACCTTAAACTTTAGAGCTTCAATCAGGCAACTGCCGGATGATCCATTGGCAATCCGATGAAGAGCACAGAGATCTCTAATATATCTACGTCTCTCCAAGGTGATCATATTAAAATAACGAAGACGATCAAAATAATCGTGTACTTTTTTGCGTAAACCACACTTCGCCGACAGGCAACGAACAAACTTGCGTTGAATGGCTTCTACTCTGTCAATGTGAACGGCGTAAATAGGGGACCATATTGAAGAACAATATTCGAGTATACACCTTACCAGTGCATTATAAAGAATTACCCAAGACTTTATTTTTCTGAATGGCCTAGCAGTTCTGGTTATAAAACCAAGCATTTGATTGGCCTTATTGCAAATATGGTCGAAATGAGGTCGAAATGTGAGTGCCGAATCGTAATATACACCCAAGTCACGGACCGTTTTAACGCGTAATAATACAGTTCCTTTTATAGAATAATTATAATGCACTGGCAATTTATTCTTTGTAAACGAAATTACTTGACATTTATTAATGTTGAGGGACATATCATTGTAATCACACCATTTAGACACTACGCTAAGGTTTTTTTGCAATGCCTCACAGTCGTCAGGACTAACAATACGCTTAAAAATTTTGATGTCATCAGCATAAGCGAGACAGTCACACTCAATTATATTAAGAAGGTCATTTATAAATATTATAAATAAAAGAGGTCCTAAATTGGATCCTTGCGGGACACCTGAATCTGGAGTATATGGCACAGAATCATAACCTCTCAAGACTACCAACTGCGACCGATTTTCAATATATGATGTTAGCCAGCGTAGAAGATTACCATGGATGCCCATACGTGAGACTTTAGTCAGCAGTTTCCGATGACAAACACGATCGAAGGCTTTCGCAAAATCTGTGTATATAGCATCAACCTGTATCCTTCTGTTGAACGAGTCACTTAAAAAAGTGCTATATTGCAGCAGATTTGACTCAGTACATCTGCCCTCAATAAAACCATGTTGTCTGGGGTTAAGGTGGGGTTTGACGTGGTTGTAAAGATGTCGGTAAATAAGTGATTCGAAAATCTTTGCAAACCAATTTAATATACTAATAGGTCTGTAATTCATTATATCCCTTTTATCGCCAGATTTATATATTGGAGTAATCTTAGCAATCTTCCACAAAGAAGGGAATACTCCTTCTTTTAACGATTTATTATATATTAAGGTCAATGGAGCAACCAGTGCAGAAGCACAAAGACGAATGAATACGGATGGGATGCCATCGGGTCCGGCTCCTTTAGATAAATCGACGTTTCTTAATCTAGTTAAGACCAAATCTGTCGTTACTTGTACATGACTCAAACAGTAACTGTGTGAGAAGAATACGGGCTGAGTAAATGTTGCAGTCGTATTAGAATCTTTATGAATTGATGCAAAAAACTCCGCAAAGAGATTCACAATTTCGTCACCTGCCGTAGCTATACGATCTTGGAAATACATAGAATTTGGTATTGTATTAGTGACATTTTTGCTTTTCGCATATCTCCAGAAAGATTTTATATTTGTAGTAAGATCACCTTCGATATTAGAAATGTAAAGATTGAAACAGTTTTCTATCATAACCTTAGCGCGTGATCTTAACATTGAAAAGGCATCAAAGTCCCTAGGGTTTCCAAAACGCTTGTATCGTTTATGGTATTTGCCTTTGAGCTTGAGAAGCCTTTTTATGCCTGCCGA